ACACCAGTGTGAAGGGATGTGTTAACGATGTGAGTGAGTGCAGGTACAACTGCAGGAGAAATGGCTTGAAGGAGATGAGATGGAATAGGATCAAGCGGACAAGTAGTAGGATGATTGAAAAGGATGAGTTTAGAGACTTCTGCCTCAGAGAGTGGAGAGAAAACGAGTGTATGTTTGCTGGTAAGATGTGTTTGACAGTTTGTGGTGTGGCAAATTGTGCACTGAGGTTTGTAATTTTATTAATGAGGAATGTGGCAAAGTCGTCAGCTGTTAAGAGTTGATGAAAGAGTGGGAGGAGAAGGACAAAGGAGAGAGGAAAATGTTTTAAAGAGCATGTGAGAGTTAGGCGAATTGTTAATTTTGTTGTGATGGTATGTCCTTTTAACAGTGGAGACATTAGCAGAGAATGAAGAGAGGCGTGATCGATATACATTAAGGTCAGTAGGATTTGTGATTTGCGCCATACTCTTTCTGCAGCTCTGAGCTTAGAACAATACTCACAGAGTAGCATATGTGTCACTTGCAGTTTGCTTGCTCTTTCATGAAGGAAATAATTTATTTTAGAGTTGAATCTTGTTCAGGGAGCTGAAGAAGAGACTGCAACACTTTTAAGAGAGACTTAGGTTTATTTAAAATTTTGTTCTTCACTGTTGTTTCTATAATGACTTAGAATGTTTCAAAATTATTCTGTAACTCTTTAGATTACAACCTGCAATGTACTGCGTAAGTAAACAGAATTTGCAGCGTAACCTTTTTGTAATTACAGTGTACCTATTCAGTACCTCCGTGTAGGTATAATGGAACAATATGCGAAGTTTGGGGAATAAAGGAATAATAATCTGTAAAATTACAAATGATTTCTACTAAGTATTTTGAAACTAAGGGGTACCTATTCTAATATTACGTGGTATGTATGACCTAACAACAATCTTATATTTGCAAGCGATTTAGCAAAAATATACACTGTGTACTTTTTTATAGCCTACACATAAAAAACACGCTGGTAATTGTTTCAATCCAAACGTTCGGATGAGACTGTTGGGTTAGGAAGCTGGCTTGATTTGACCCAATTTGGGTTGATATCATTAATAAGTAACCCGAAGTTGCTGGATTATTAATGTGGAGGACGTGAATGAGAGCATGCAGCAAGTCACGTGAGTTCAAACGTGAACGGTTCTGTGTGTGACGAAATCCGTGACTGCGGTGCTTAAGACGGGAACGTGTGTGGAAAATAGGAGAAAACTAATCGAAGCGCAAATGAGGGACAACTTTGAAACTGTCTGGAGTGTGTTCGTTTAAAACTGGAGCAGTGAATGTGGTGAGCGCGAACTGGAAACAGCTGTAATGGCGCACGAGACGAGTCTATCCGTGTTTGCGGCGCTCCTGACAGGAATATGTGTAGAAAATACAAGAAAACTAATCGAAACGAAGAGGAGAGAGATTTTTTTAAACTGACTGGAATGTGTTCTTTTAAAACTGGAGGGTTTTGTCCGAGTATGTTCTCACAACATTGATTTTACCATTTTGATCCATGTCCTCAAGCACCATTTGGCTAATGTTAGTTCAGGTCCCGGTTTTCCCAGTCGCTGCTCAAAGACGGTAAAATCCTGTCAGTTCGCTATAATACACAGTTTAATCTTGACTTTCAGTGTTTCAACTTCGTTAGTGGGTGAAAAACATGAACAATTAAACCCTTAAACAAGCTTTCCAAAAGAATTTGGTTTAACTGTATAAGCTGTATAAGTATGGAGTTGCTTTGCTTTTTTCTGAACTGGTGTAACAGATATAACCTAATGAAAGATTAAAATTTGTTCCCTGTGTTGTTACTGTTGTCATATTGTGTGTGATTTTAATTTTAAAACCCATTTTGGGTTAATTTAACCCAGTAGTAGGCCTATAGTAAATTGCAAACAATATTTGAATTAAATAAAACAGTCCACCATGTTTATTGATACATTACCTGATATATAATGTTTGCATGTATGACCTACTGTATAAACAATCGTTTCAGAGCAATATGTTGTAGCCACTGACCCTGTAACTACATGGAACAAGGGGGGAACAAAGCACCATTTTAATTTACAGCCCGCAAATGTTGTATTTACCCTGTAATTACATGGAACAATGGGGGAACAAAGCACCACTTTAATTTACAGCCCGCAAATGTTGTATTTACCCTGTAACTACATGGAAAAAGGGGAGAACAAATCACCACTTTAATTTACAGCCCGCAAATATTGTATTTACCCTGTAACTACATGGAACAAGGGGGGAACAAGCACCACTTTAATTTACAGCATGCAACAAGAAACAAAGCACCACTTTAATTTACAGCCCACAAATGTTGTATTTAGCCTGTAACTACATGGAACAAGGAACAAAGCACCACTTTAATTTACAGCCCACAAATGTTGTATTTAGCCTGTAACTACATGGAACAAGGAACAAAGCACCACTTTAATTTACAGCCCACAAATGTTGTATTTAGCCTGTAACTACATGGAACAAGGAACAAATCACCACTTTAATTTACAGCCCGCAAATGTTGTATTTACCCTGTAATTACATGGAACAATGGGGGAACAAAGCACCACTTTAATTTACAGCCC